CGTTTCTTTAATAAACCTCTCTCTGAAGCACTTTTACTTTTTTTTTTTTGTATTTAAAATAACAATAATTTTGTATGAATATTATTGCTTCATAAAAGTATATAGAAAATAAATGTACATTCAAATAATATAAAATTAAAATTAAATTAAATTGCAATAACACACAAAAATAAGGATATTAATTTTAAATCGAATTACACTTTAGAGCATATTTGCCGATTGCTGCTTACTACGCTTGATGAGCAATTGGTTTTTTGTTTTTTGTTTTTGTTTTTGTTTTAAATTACGTGTACATGAGAACAATTTTCATTTTTCAGTCTACTATTACAACAAAATCTACATATATCTACGAAAAAGATATTGCATATTGGATATCGTATCGTGCGCTCAGCTATGCGAATAAAACTATTACAACTATTGTTTTTTGGAGGCTGAGTATTTGGATTGAAAAGGCAGTTCATTGGATTTCATTTTATTATTCGTACATTTTGTTGTTCAGTATACCAATGCAAGGAAAACTTCATGCAATTTTACCTAACTGCTTGCTTGCTGGTGAATTGCATGAAATTTTCTTGCTTGCTATATTAAAATAGAAGAAAAAAATGTTTCATGCAATTTTGCTCAAAAGTGCTTTTGTTTTGTTTCTTTACGGTGAACGGAGAGATTGATTTAATAATACAATAAGTTGATTAACTTAAAGGTGTTATTCGATGGCAATTATAATTTAAATTTTATTTGCCTGCATAATTTATTTATTTATTATTATTTATTTATTATTATTTATTTATTTATTTTTTTTTATTTTTTTTTATTTCAAGTTTTTCTTTTATTATGTTAAAGTTAATGTCTAAAAATTATGAGCGAATTGGTCCTTATTATTTTAACATTAATAACTGGAATTCTAACTTCTTTAAGAAGTTTAATTATTATTATTATTATTATTATTATTAAATGATTAATTTATTTATTTTATTCTTGTTCTTACTTTTCTGCTCATATGACTATAAGTTAATATAATATATATTATTTTCATTTACTTTAAGCCTAATAAAAAGTATCCTAAAATTAAAACTACTACTAACATAAAAACGGGGGTTCTTAAATTTTTTGTTTTCTTTTTTCGAATTTTAGTGAAATTCTTTTTTTTTATACCCATCGCCGTGTAAAATGACCAATTGTCAATAGATATGCGCCAAATTAATTTTTCATTCGTTTATGGTTTTTGATAAAAATAAAAGAATGTTCGCATGAATGAGTTGAAAAATTCTAATTTCATTTATTGTTCAATATAATTAAGTTTGTGTATATTATATATTTGAAAATTTTGAAACCGTTACGCTCCGATTTTAATCACTTTTGACTTATTGCTTGCTGCTGTTGATTAAATCAAGAATGTAAACAATAATGAAAACCTCTTTTCCCTTTTACTTTATTAGTTTGGAAGATGTCTTGGATAGTATGCTTGCCTTAGAGGTTTCATAGTCGAAATATGAGTTCAAAAACTCCAAGATTGGTAACTTATCACTTTTCATTTAATATTAATGAAAAATTGAATAAGACACAACGAACTGAAGATTTCACATTAAAACAAAATATAGAAGAGAAATTATTTGAAAAATTTCAAAATTTAGATCTACAGTTATTCAATACTTTGAAAATATTTCGAATTTGAGCGCGGACTGACCCTCAGTTAATTAAGATCGCAACAGGAAAACACAAAAATTAATAAACTTTATCTTTAACGTAATGTTTTTCAAAGACATATATATATATATATATATATATACCGTTTGATAAAGTAAAGGAGACTAACTTCTACTGTTATATGAACGAACTTCTTTAAATAAAAATATCTCACGATCAACTCACTCGAATTTTGGCAAGCAGTAGGGCAATATCGGCCAGCGAACGAATTGCAAAGCTTTTGTTTACGTTGTTAAAGCGATAATCGGCCAATCAATACTGACTGACCCGATTGGAAAGCTAAGTATATATCCTAAGAGAAGCGGTCTGAGCAATTTCTGTGTTTCTACGATCACTTGTTTTCATTATGTAAGCATTCGAGATCCACTCACACTTTTGATACAATAAGAGAAATATGAATACAATTTAACACATGAAATTCAATTTCTCTCAGGCAAATATTTGGCATTTCTTGTACTTGAAGATAATTCTTTTGTTATTGAATTTTTCATATGTATTTATTAAATCTACACCTTAAAGCCGCCATCAAGTGCATACATTTGCGATAAAATGTTGTTCAAACGAACAAACTTGATCCCTAATTATATATCCCTATATCGTTCCCGCCAGATTAAGATCTCTTTACATGTTTTTTTGTTTTTTTTTTTCTACTTTGGCGTATGTCTTCTATTCCGTGCAACATGGGCGACAGTCAGAAAGAAGAGAGGAGTGAAAAAGAAATCGGGGAAAGTGATGTGATTGCCGCAGCCCACTGGATGGGGGGATCTCGCCCAATCAATAAGTATTATGTCGCCTTTCGCGACTGAGCATTGATTACGGTTACGACCAAAGAAAAGTCTACCGCACTTGAGATTCGATTTTACAGGTTGGCAAGAAACTGATCATTTCTTCTTCATTTATTTATTTAATTTTTTATTTTTTTGCAAATTAATGAAAGCAACTTTTTGTCCGGAACTTTTAAAATAACAAAACAAAATGTTACTCCTAATTATTGTTAGATATAATTAATGAGATAAATTCTATTAAGCAATTCTTGTACAGAGTATAAATAAAGCTAATACATTTGTTAAAAAATTCAACTCAAGGTGTTCTATTGAAAGCGCACTTTCTATATATATGTAGCGATTAATTTGTTGGCCACCCCTGCCTTGTAAGTTGATTTTTAATTCGAACACTATTTTATAGTGAAATATTTATTTTTAATTTGAAAACTATTGAACATCTTCGGCGATGGGTTAGATATTAAGAGACGACTTAGGATTATTCAAGGGTTTTTAGCTTATATCGTAAAAATATGCTGATACTACACAAGTGAATTATATCCTGAACATTTTATAAACTTTCTTTCCTTCTTTTTAATGATTATATATATTATATATATTTTATATTATATATATTATATATATTATATAATATATATATATATATATATAGATATATCTTTTAATATGTGTTGAATTTAATGTGAATTATATGCTCTTTTACATACAAATGTATGTGAAATTTCGATTGTTAAAAGCAAGTGTTATAAGAATAAGTATAGTTAATAATCATAATAATAATAATAATAATAATAATGATAATAATAATAATGTCAATATAATAGTAATAATAAATAGTCAATATGTGAGCCGTATAATAGGTATGCAATTGTTATTATATAAATTGTTTATAAGCCAGTATAAAATATGAATGTCATCATTGTCATGTTAAATAATTTTTTTTCTTTTTGGTGCATTTTTCTTTTTTTTTTAATATCTAATATTGATTGATTGATTGATTACATTAATAACACGTGTGCAATCTAATCTCTCTTGTCGTTTAAGTATTTTTCACCAAATATATGAAACCAATTATATAAATTTATATTGGAAAGACAAATCGTTGAAAAAAAAAAAAAAAAAAAATCAACGGAATAGATTTTAATAATAATAATAATAATAATGAAAGCGAAGCTAATGCTAATGGCACTCCGTGAAAATAAAACTATGCGCAGTATTTGATAAGAAAAAAAAAAGAAGCAACACAAAGGAGAAGAATAGAACTTTGGTTAAAACTAAGGCCTTGTAAACAATAATAATAATAATAATAATATTAATAATAATAATATGTGATATTTTTATAAATCCCGATATTTTTGGCTGATAAGTATCTCATACTTAATCAACCTGATATATATTTGGGGATACAAATTCATTATAGTGAAAAGAAATTTAGGCCGATCGTATAATGGTTTTCACTCTACTTGCAATATCAATACCCAAATTGGTGGCTTAAGCCGTTTTGTGAAATCCAGGCCTGATCGCATAACACCATCACTATAGATTGTTATTTTATTTTACTTTAATATTGATAATCAAATTTGTATGCAATTTTGTTGAAGTGCATGAAACGTAAAAAGGGGTTTAAAGCGTAGTAGAACACTCTTAGTAAACCTTCAGAAAAGAAAAGTAAGAAATTTCAATTAACTAAAAGACAGTTGAAATTGAATTTACTTTGTTTTCTGCATATATGTTACGATGGCGCTTGATATATATGCCAGAGGTAAATTAAACCCTTGGATGGAGTAGCGGAAACCGCTTGTTTTGTAATTTCAAGGGGAACGTAAATATTTGCCGTATCTGAACGATACGAGTTTACTGTCTTTCATATGCGTTTTAATGAAACTTGAATGCATGTCCGCACAAGATCTTATAAGATAGTCGGTTTTGCATTACATTGGAGATAATGTAAAAAATGGTCAGATAATCCTTAGAAACGCTTTATATCAGATGCATATGTAAGAATCTACAAATTTCTGATAATGTCTACATAAAAAAGGGGAAATATAAATGGTATAGTCTTTGTCTTCGGTACCGACATTGTTCAATTTCAAATGATTTTCTTTCTAGAATATTAAATTTCATTGCATCCCTTTCCTTTATTAAGGAAAAATAACAATAATAATGTCCATAGCGAATATAATTAAAGAGAATCTTTAATATATGAATATAAGTATAACGATAACGTCATTCGTGTAAAATGAAGGCTGTTTAGCAGCTTAGCTTGTTTTTCATTTAAAAAGCTCAACGAAGCAAAATGGAAAAGAAATTCAGAAATTCTGAATAAAATCAAGTATATATATATATATAATTATATATATACGTATCGTGTATGTATTATACACACATACATATATGTATATATATTAAAAAATTTCATTTTTAATTTTATATATCTATGTATATATATATGCTATATAACATATATGACATATATGCAAAAAACAAACATATATTAATGTAAAAATAAAAACTTTAAACTTATAACTTAACAAAGGCTCTTCAAAATTTGTCTATAAAATTTTTTTCTAAAAAAAATTCTTTTTAAACGCCTTTCATGTGCGTTACCCGTTGATCGCCAATTATTATTAATTATCAACGATGTGATTAATCTCCGAATTGTGTCTTGTTTATTTACTTTAGTGCCGTTTCTGCACATGCGTAATAACTTGCCTAGCAAGGTCTGGCGCGTACCACAACAAACTTTCCTTCATTTGCATTATCATTATTTGAAAAATAATGTTAATTTATTTTATATTTCTTTTGTTTTTGCTTTTTTAGTATATGTATTTTGAAGAATTTCTGATTTTTTTCCTAAGATGCATTTAATATGGATTAAATTTGTTACGAGCTTTTTCGGTCTCGGCATTGCCGTCCGAGTTATGATTGCGGAAACGCGAAGAAGCGAAACTTTTCGTACGATGTACGCCGGTTGTCTGAATTGGTGGACCACTTAGGGTAGCCAAGCCCCCCAATAAATCAGACAGACTGCCCAACGCTGTCAAACTGGTTAGAGCGTTTAACGCCCCCGGCTTAGTTAAGAGTTGGGCCAGCGGTATAGCCGAAGCTAATGAGCTAGCCGCAGCTGCCAAAGGATTGGCTAAAGCTGGTGTTGTATTTGTTGTACTCAATACGCTCGTATTATTTGTTCCTGTTGCTGTGCTTGTGTTGTTGTTATTGTTATTATTATTATTATTGTTGTTGCTATTGTTATTATTATTAAGTGTTGTAGATGTAGTTGAATTTGAATTAGTTGTATTTGTTGTATTATTAGTGTTGCTGTTGGTGCTAGACTGTCCTCCAGCCGCTGCAGTACCATTAGCTGCATTATTTGCCTCTTGGAGATTTGCCTTCTGCAGTTCGACGCTGTAAAAAGGGATAAAGAGAGAGAGAAAGAGAATAGGAGAATAGGATATTGTTTGTATGGTTGAGATGTTGAGAGATAAGGTTTGATTAATTTTTTTTTTTTTTTTTTTTTTTTTTTTATTCTATTTCATGGATTTTGATTTTGTGGAATTGAGTTGAGGTGTTTTTTTTTCTTTTTTTTTTTTTTTTAAATATAGCAAAAATTTTCAAAGATTATTTTTTAATAAGGTTAAGGAGGGATTTTTTTGTGGATATCGTAGGGTAAAAAGTTTGCTGACATGCGATAAAAACCGCGCATTGTCGTTGAGCATGTCTTCTACCGATTTCATTTGAATGCAAACATACAGTGATGATAGTTCGCGATTTCTGAATATATCTCCGAAATGCTAATAACCCACCCACCGCATAATAGACTTTTCTTATTTAACTATCCTTTAATTTCATTAATAAAAGAATACCTTTTAATGCAAAGGGAAAAAGAAAGAATGTAATTATATATATATATATATATAAATTAGTAACACACAGAAGTGATTTTTTCATCTTGAGCGGAATCTGTTGTTCTTGCTGTTATTGCACCCTTCACCTGCATAGAAATTTATAGATGCAAAGAAGGATTTATAGAAGGAATCCAGCCGAGATCGGTATAAGTATGATTCCGTTTTCATTTTCATGTTTTAATCGAATATGAGCATATGCCTTAAGCGTAAAAATTGATATACAAATTGAAAATATTAAGTCGATTAAGAAATCACATAAGTATGCCTTCGCAAATACAGAAACTGCTTAGGCGTTTACGTTTGTATTATACTCACCAGATGAGTAAAAGCGCATGGCGAACGTCTTTACAATATATTTGCTTTTTCAACGCGCAATTTGTCTATTTACCTACGTCTACATCACTCCAAGTCGCGATGAGATAAAGCAATGAAACATGATATACATGAGATTTCTGTATATCAAATTTCTAAATGGTACACATTCGATACATAAGATTAAGAAATTGAATTTAAAAAAAAAACATTTTCGACAATACTTAATATTGCCGCAATAACTTGCAACACAGGGTAGACAACGCTTTAAAATTTGTAGGCGTTGCATATGAAAACCTAACAGTTTTATTTATTTGCTTGCAGCGTAATCGAGTTTTGCCTGAATATTTCAAACCTTTTACAAGGATGTGCTTTTATAAAGCAGGACTTTAAAACTAACTAGAAGAGCAAAAGATATTACATATGCACCCAACTTTTTTTACACGGTCTTTTTTCTTCCTTAGAGGAATCAAGACCGACAAATGTGCTTGGCATATTTTCACATATCTACTGATGATAGCATTCTTGAACCAGTTCGTAATAAACGTGCACTCTTGTTATCAAATACCGCTATATAATTGCAGAATTGATATTTATTCTTAATTTCAATTGAAATTGTTATATGTTTCAGTTATGGACTGCAGCATTTTCACTGTGCATTAATTTTAATTTTTTTAATTTTTTTTTTTACTTTTGTAATAAAACTGAATGCTTTTCGTTTTTTTATTAAGTATGCGATATGGATTTCAATATTATTTTTTATGTACGGGTTTTTTTCGGAAAATAGTCAGGATTTTTTCCATCTTACACGATTTTTTAAAATCGTGGAACATATCACGCCAAATTTATCATATGTCGCATGTATTTTTTTTTTGCACCATTTTCTGAGGAACCTATTTACCGTGTAAAAAAAAAAACGAGTTACTTGTGTATATATATGCATCTATATATGATTTTCGAATTATGTTATATTCGAATTCATATTTTTATAGAATTGGATAACAAATCACAGACAGTTGCGAAACAGCATATTTTTATACCAAACCTTTCGTATAAAAAGTTTTCTAAGAATTGAGCTGACTTATGGATCGAATTGTATTTGTCTTAAATTTTTAAAAATAGCTGAGCTTTTATTTTATATCAAGTTCCGCAGCTACATGAGAAGTATAAAACGATAATTGCTAGCAAAATGTGATTTATGATTCACGCAGTTTTATTTCTAGGAAGATTTCACATTCTCACTGATTCCGAATATATGGAAATGAATTTGTTCTTCTAGCCGGTTTTTTTAACAGAAACGTTTCTCATGTTTTTCAGAAATCTACGTATACCTCTGTGGATAGCGTCTCCGAAGCGTATTTCTGTAGGTTATAAACATTTGATACAACTCTAATATAACATATCAGAATTGGTGTTTGTAGTAATAAAATAAATAACTATTTCATAATCGTTTGCGTTATCTGCTTTAAGTTTGGGGAAAAAGCATCCTATAATAATGGTTTGACAGCAAACATGAAATGATGGATAGATCCACATATTCCAAAATACTGGTGTTTACGTGTAACAGTATCCGGAGAATAAAATGAATAAACAAATAAATAAATAAATAGAAGAAAAAAATAAATTCTGTCGTTCTTCAAAGATGAAATAAATCGGTTCGATTGATTGCCAAGAGCAAGTAGCTGGGTTCACGGCAAAAAAAAAAAAAAAAAAATTCGTTTTCCCCAAACGTTAAGTTTTTTTGAATTTTTTGCATCCTAGTTTAATGCTAGCGAGTACCGGTGTTTTTGTAAAATATCTTTTGCTCTTTTCCTTAAAATAATCTCCACATAAAAAAGATGATTCCCCTTATGAGAATATTTGCATTCAAATAATAATTTTAGGTTTATTTTTTATTGAATTGTTTTTTTTTTTTTTTTTTTCTTTTTTTTTTTTCATATTAAGGAATCATAAGGGATTTTGGTTTGTTTGGTTTAAATAAACGTCGATGCATCTCCAATAATCCAATTATCTTCTGTTTTTCTTTTTTTCCTGGATATTAAAAAAATGCGCTGGCTATAAGCTTTCTTGTATTTACTACTTAGCAACAAACAATTATAATTAAATTACTTAAAATCTAACCGTACGTTCACACACAGTTACAGATCTGCATACATCTAAATTAATATATATGTACAAATTTTATATAAGACATGGAATGTTTGTTCGTCAGGAAAGAAGGTTGGCGGTTGGTGGCAAGTGAGAGAAAGGATATTTTCAAAGAAGAATTTGGAATAGTACTTATTTAGAGACTTGATTGTGATTGAAGGAGGGCAAATATATCATCTATTGATTTTTGGGTAATGATATCAAAAAGCACATACAGGAATGGTATAAATTTTGTTTTTGTTGGCGGCAGGATGAACATGATCAAAGAAATATTATAGTTCTGGTAAAAAAAAAAAAAAAAAAAAAAAAAAATTAATAATTTTGAACGCTCTTAATATAATAGTGATCATTATATTTTACATATATGTGTGTATATATTGTCAAGTACACAATTATACGCTTGGTTGTACTTTATTATGTACCGGTATGTTATGTGTATATGTTTGTATGTCATTGAAGGTACTCCTCCTCCCCTTACGCGATGTAAATTTTTTTCTCTGTTTTATTTGTCTATACATTATTTCTTGATTTATTTTTTCAATATTCAATCAATCATCAATCAAATCAATTCGACAAAATTATTATTTCTCTTCACTTTTTTTTTTTTTGCCCATTATTGCGGGTATTCTTCTTTAGTTTTTCTATTTTTTTTTTTTTGTTTTTTTTTTTTATTTTTGTCTCTAAACTCACCCACTATTTAGTTGTTACGATGCCAATACTTACCTCATGTTGATTAAGTATTGTGCCAAAGCGACCGAATCAGGATTACCGCTGATAGTGATGGTACGATCGGTATTGCCACCTTCACGCTCTTCGCAATTTGAGATGCGTATCATGGCACCGGAAATTTGACGTATTTCAGCTATTTTAGTGCCGCCCTTGCCAATAATGCAACCAATCAAATCATTTGAAACTGTCATCTCATGTTGCTGCTGCTGGGCGCGATTTGTATTGGCTGTACGTAGCTGAGAACCGGCTAGAGCAGCCAAAGCTACTTATTATATCAAAAGTTAAATATTCATTTTATTATTATGAATGTCTAGAAATGATTATAATAATAATATATTGCTGCTAACCTGTTGGATTTAAGCCACCGGTATTGGCAGGAGCCATGCCAGCTAAGCCCAAGGCAGCTAAACTTGCCAGTGGATTCTTGGCCACCTACACGAAGAGATAGGAAAGAAGACGACAAATGGGGAATAGATTACAACAGTGTTTAATCGAAAGCTATCTGCAAACGCAACTAAATATTCCAATAGAACTTTAAAGGACGCATAATCAATAATTGAAAAGAAAACAACGATAATAGACGTTCATAAGAGTAATAATAATAATAATAATAATAGTAAGAAGAAAAAAAAAGAAGAAAATATATAAAATTAATACAAACACGAATAACATAACCACTACTTCTAACGAGTGCTGTCATATATAATTAAATTAATGTTTATACAAACACGTATAATAGTAATAATAATAATAATGATAAGAAAAAGAAATCAAACAAATTTTATGTACACAAGTTTGTTTAGTTTTTGATTATTATTATTATTTTTTTTTTTTATTATTGTTATATTTGGCGTAGCAATTGTAAAGTAACTAAATTAAATTTGAAGAAATTATTGTTAATTATAGAATAAGTATAAATTGATTACTTTCAATTTTAAAGTGTTGTCCTTTTACCACCAACCACCAAATTTACTGAATACACTTCGGGACCGAAACAGTACAAAACACGCGTGATTCTATACAAAAATATCGCTAAGCAAATGAACAAAGTCAATTATGTTATATTTGTCCGTAGTATTTATTCACTCACTTAGAAGCGAACGGTAGGGTAGACAAGAGGCTTTAGTTACTCGTTAACGATTTTTTTGGTCACCCATAATCAACAGGAAATTATTACAAGAATAAAACAAGGAAAAGAAAAAAAGGAAGGAAATAACTACGCATAGGGGACTAAAATTAATTATTGTCAAATGTGACGACTTAAAAGATGATAAACATGGTATACTTTGCGTTATATCCTAAGATCGGCATAAACAAAATTCAATTCTTCAATTGTATATTAGAACTGAGTAGGATTGTATTGAGTAGAAGTGTACTCGTGCGTACGATTCGCATCGTCTCATTTTTGTAGACACTATTATTATATTATATTAATTGCGTCATTCCCAGTAATGGCTAAGTTAGTCCGAAGGAGAAATAACTTTCAAAATTAAATCATTTTTGCAAGAAAACTTCGCAGACCTAACTTGCCTCCTTCTATGACAGTATATTTCTGCTGCTGCATATGAAACGTATTTTCATTTGAAAGGTTGTGATGCATTTTTATATTTTCGAAAGTCAAACAGTCGAGTTTCGCCACATAAATGAGTTTCTTATTTCCATGTTTATCTAAGGCACAACAACACTACGCAAAATGCATTAAGATGAAACAAAAAGCAACTCCAAATGGTCTGAGTAGATGTAGATGTTTCAGACGATGTAGATACTTAACGAAGCTCGGGCTACCGAACGAAATAATCGAAGTTTTTGTAAGTGAATTAAGAATTGATAAAAAAAAAAACAGAATAAATGCTTTACTTGAGTACGACACAATTCCAAATCAAATAGTGCTACTAAATCGGCCAGAGAAAAAATTCAATCCATCTATCCATCTATGTATGTATTTTTGCTTTTGAACAAACATTACTTTGATCGACGTAAAGCAATCCGTTAAATCAACGCGTCCGCTTCGTTAAAGATACGAAAAAATCACTGCTGCTACGAAAAATTAGCCCTACTACCGACCAATGCACATTGTCGCATAAGAGATTTTCCCTAAAAATTGACAATACTTTTAGGTAGCGTACGAATTATTCTTCTCTTCTTAATAAACTCTAAATACTCTTTAAGAAGGAACGGGGTGGATAGCAAGTATGCAAGTAATTGCGGATCTTTGAAGAACCCAATAAAAGCTGAAGTCAGAACATTAAACGTTTCGCTTATATAGATACACCAACGAGTTTAACGAGATTTTCAATTTTTTCCATTTAAGGATGAGATGTAGATCGAGTAGCGCAACTAAAAAATGTCGAATGAACAATTCATATTCTTCACAGCTTTTTTTTGGTGGTCTTTTTTTAAAAATTTGTGAATTTGAAAAAAAAAAATTTTTTTTTTTTTTGAATCTTAAAAATTCCAAAAACTCGTGAACACACGAAAACATGTACCATTCGATGTACGAAATGAATGCCGCAGACGATAGTATATCTCAGAAACGGTTTGTATAAAGATATTTTATACTTTAATCGGCTTGGTTGACTTGGTTTTGTCATCAGTCAAGTCAAATTCTTGTTTACTAAATTTCTCGAGTAAAGAGTGAAGACATATCCTCAACATTTCGAGATAGCTTGCGAAGGCTGTAACTTTTCACGACTCCCTGTACCATATCTACATAATTTTTATTTTTTATGATGTCTCTTATGCATATTTCCCTAACGTTACAATGGAAAGAATAAACCAAGTATAGTAAATACACATAATACTCGCTCTCATTTAACAATGAGTGATGGATGAGTATGTGATAATATTCGTTGTTTTCAAACTGAATATAAATTTTTTCTTACACTGGTTAACATCGTATATAACGGAGATTAGGTTCGGCTTCGTTGATGGAGGGAGTGCTTGTCTGGCTGTAAAATTGCCATTAATTTAATTTAGTTGCTTTAATTAATTTAATTTAGTTACTTTGACGTTGCCCTGAAGAAAAATTTTCCTCATTCCAGTTATAAAATAATTATGAAAAAAAAAAAAAAAAAAATCCAAGAAAATACTTAACGGAGAATAAATTTGAAATAAATATGTGAAGCAAAAAAATTGCTTTTTGCTGTTTGTCTAGATGTGTGGTTGTTGTGTCAAGAAGTTTTTTTCTTTTCTTAAGGGTAAGCGGCGCTTTGGAAATTCAAGTATAACACACAGTAATATTTATATTTAGCTTTTGAAAGTAAACAGTACAGAAATAATAAGAAGGAGCTTAGGGAGTGATGGGGTGGGGGGGTGTGGGGGAAGAAATATATCGATAGAGAGAGCGCGTAGAGTGCGGGCGAAGATGAAGATACAGAATGTCATGGATTGGGAGCCGGGGTAAGGAGCGAGAAAAGTGTCAAAAGTCGGAAATGTGAAAAGAAAAATGCTGGTGGAGGAGAAGGCTTGAAAACATTTATACACCAATTACCTACAGCAGTGTAACCGAATTTTTCTCTTACAAATGTGTTTACAAAGTAGTTTTTTCCGCTTTTAATATAAAAACTTTGCTTTATATTGTGTTTGTTTGACAGAGAGGTAATAAAAGAAAAACATACAACAACAAAAAAAGGAAGTAATCATATAATGAAATAAAAAAAAAAAAAAAAAAAAGAAAGAAAGAAATGCACAGCAAACCTCATGCCATGCAAAAGAGAACAATAACATAACAGAATTGAGAAGTGAACGCAAGGAGTAATAGGAAGAGATGACATACTAAAGCGACGGGATAAGATGTTTAATTAAAAGCAATAATGTAAGAGCAAAATAGGGAAGCATAGGAGAGAATATAATTATAGGATAAGAATTCAATAATTAAAGCAAATGAAATCAGCTTTTGTCTCACATCGTTCCACGACTGATTTCCTTTGTCGTATTTAAAAAACAAAAAAAATAAATAAATAAATAAATAAATGTCTCAAAATAAAACCACCTACAAAAAAAACTCTAATGTTCAATTGTTCAGGTAGATCATAGCAACCAGGAGTAGCGGGGGTAGGGCCTAAATTTTACATAATTTACATATTGTACAATATAGATGTTTATGTGTATTCATAAGTACTTACACACACATACATACACACACACATACACACACACGCACATACATACAGAGAAAAAGTAAGAGAGAGAGAGAGAGAGAGAGAGAGAGAGAGAGAAAGATCATGGGAAGATAATAAATACAGGAGCAAAAGGGATGATACCATTAAAACATTAGCAAACTTATGGAAAATTGAAAACAGACTCAAAAAGATTTAGTTTTAGGTGTAATTAGTAGTAAATTTCATATATTTGTTTATATATGTGATAAAAAAAAAAAGAAGAAACTGTTGTTTGAGGGTCCGGAGGGAGGGCAGGCAGGCGGGCAGGTTGATTATGAATTGCGGACAATGGCCAGGGGTGGGGTTTTCAATTGGTTGTTTGTTTTTTTTATTTTTTCTTTTGCTTTTGTAATCGAAAAAAAAGAAATATGCAATCAATGGTTCAAACATCTTCTCAACCAAAACTCACATCGGGTAATTGCTGTAGGTGATGGTGTGCTGGTACCGCTCCTGGCAAATGTGCGCCCTTTAATAAAGGATCCGTTAAACCCGATATACCAGCGTGAAGACCACCGGTAGCCAAAGCAAGTGGAAATACTGGGCAGGTCTAAAGAGGTTTATTTTTTTTTTTTATTTATTTATTTATTTATTTTTTTTTTTTTTTGTATTTGCAGTGGTGGTGATGGTAGTGGTTGACGTCATTAATTCATCATATATAAAATAGTACAAGAAGTGATGTTTTGTTGTTGAATGTTTTATGTTTTCGTTTCATTTTTGAAATTTTAATAAATAATTAATAAAATTTTCATATTGTTTTTGTTGTTGTCATTGTTGTTTTGTAATTGCAGTGATATTTATTGTTTTTTTTTTTTTTTTGTTTTTTGAAAACAAATTGTTATATTTATTTTTAATTTTTATTTGTTTGGTTTGTTTGTTGAAATCAAAAAGAAATAAAGAAAAAAAATATAAATGAATTATTAACTAAAATAAATTCATTTTTTTTTTTGCTGCTGATGTTGTATATGCATATGCATATACGTATATATATATATATATATATATATATATATATATATACACATATATACATATATATCTATATATATATATATATACATATATATGAAACGAAAATAGAAGAGAAAATCCATTGAATGTACGCATGTATAAAACAGATAAACTCAGTGGAAAATAAACGTAGAAAGCGGAAAACTTAACAAACCACAAAAACGAAAACAATTCATGGAAAAAAAGTGTTAAAATTAAGAATTATGGACTACTAGTTTGTCACAATTAAATGCTAATGTAAAACAATTAAACGGAATAAAGAAGAAACTGCTTCAAGAGAAACAACAACAAATAACAGTTAGTTCTTTCTTTTCTTCAAAATTCTATTCATGTACCATTCCTTTAAATCGCGCGAGAACGTCCCAAGAGCATATATAAGCGTTTTTTTTTTTTTTGTTTCATTAATTTGCTCATGTTAAGAACACTTTGCTTTGAAGTTGACTATCCCCAGATAGAACGTGTTTCGCAACTTAAAGTTTCGTATAGACTTCCTTGAAATCTTCACTGTTTAATAATGAAATCGATTATAAATCAAATTTACATTTAACTTATCTCCACGTTTGGCGTTATGCTTGTATAATGAAAGAGGAAACACCCAACTATATTAGACTGACTATGATAATTCGCGATTTGTGTATGTGGGCATTTATTGCAGGCTCCACCGAACGGATCAAAGACCGTAACTTATAGTAGTATGTATAGTAGATATTCATTTCGAAATTATGTTACATATTTAATAGATATTTCTCGTAAGTTTTCATCGTCTGAAAGCTGACTATAGAGATATGTTTCTGACCGACCAACCGGCGCGCACACGAAAGATCGACAAAGATCAATCTTCTTTCAGCTTGGCTACTTAAGTACTTAATTACATAAAGTACTTATCGAAATTAACGATCATGAAAAAATGTCCGTCTCTACATTTAACATCGAACTTATAAATGTATGTAATAAAAGAGAAATGTATGCATGTAATAAAAGAGAAATTGTTACATTCGGCCTAAGCCTCAATCAATCAATCAATGATTTCGATTGAAACGTGAAAATTTTTTCATTTTTAAACCATTCGGCATTGTAACATTGCTATAATTATTTGAATATATTTTCACAGTAATAAAGAAAATTTTTGAGAATAAATTTGCTCTTCGACGAACACGTTCCAGATTGCAATTGAAATCTTCATCAGACGGATGGCAAAATTATTTCGTCTATTTGCATTCTACTTAAGTATATCTATTAAGTTTGCATATAATGAAGTCTCCAAAGTATAATTGTAAGTATCTGCGATAGGTATGAAAATCGCATTCGCAAGGGATTGCGGAAGAATTAAAAGAAAATATTTATACAACCTTTTGATTTATATCTTTGATACAGATCTAACTTAGAAGGAAGTGAAAACTTTTGAAATTGTCGGCATTCTTGAGCTTATTTCAATTCTAGAACTATTTTGCGAAGTAGTCATGTTTACTTTTTGTGTTCACTGTTGCGTTTTTCCTCATTTATGCGATTAAGAATCTTAAAAATAGTTAGACGGACGTACACCACAAGGGTGTTGATCCATTTATACAGTGGCAATAAACGCTGCACAGACTATATACACCTTGTGCGATGTTCAAGATGTATTTTGATGCTACATATGTTCCTGTCTATTCTTATTCTCGTCGAAGGAGTTTCTAATCGAGTCAACTCGTCTTGCGTTTCCGCACAAACACATTTATGCAAAAATCCACACTTTCCTTCGTCATTATAATTTACTTTATTTTTTCAGAGGGCAACCGTATGCAGTACACTCCCAGTTTTTAAAAACATGATAAAGGGCGACTACATATTCAAACTTTTCTTGTATCACTCGAGAGTTTACAAGTTCGCGAATTAGATAAACTGGTTCGGTTCTTCGAAAAGTCCAAAACTAGGTGATCGTTCTATGACATATTTCGGTGGAAGCGATGATAGCTTTTTCTTTACTTTTCGCACATTCAACCTAACTTCAATATGCGTTCATAACTGTTACCTCAATAACGCTATCAAAATAATTTGAATGAAAATATTCTCGCAAAAGATTGGTGTATACTATATACTACAAGGTGTGTTTAACAAAAAAAAAGTTAGCTTTGTGGATTCGATTTTCAAATTTTTGTCTTTGCCTTGGTACACATATATCGAACATGTATTGACATCATCAGTTATTTTGCTTTTCTTAGTTGGTAGTGTTTGACAGATATAAAGTTAAGACGTGTTTTCGTGCGCTTGGCGATTTTTTGCTATCAAAAAAAATGGATGAAAGAAACTGTATAAAAATTTTGTATAAAAAATAAAATCCAGTGATCCAATTCACTTAAAATATTGAATCTACTTTGAGCAGAAGAAAAAAATGTTTATAAATGGTACGGGTGACTGGGTAGTTTATTCCGAAATTGCGGAATTTTGACCAAACAAAACGGTCGCATAAGCATCAGGCGGGAGCTGTTGGAATGATCATAACTGAAACAGAAAAAAGCACGCCAAATTCGGTTTAAATGTGAGGATTTTGCTCAATATTTTCTTCGATTAGAATGGCGTTATGTGACTTGTGAGTTCTTCCCAGAAGATCATACGATCAATAGGAGGAATATTACGTTGAAGTTATGCTCGGTTTGCGTAAAGGCCGGGATTGTGCAACAACCAGTCATGGATATTGCACCACGATAATGCGGCAGCTCAGACCTCAGACCTGAAAATACCCATGAAAGGTCGGAATCTTATCATCGTGAAGGGGATAAAAATACCGCCTCGTTGGAAGGGCTCAAGACCATACCAAAAAGCACTTATCAAAAACGCTTCTACGATTGGAAAAAGGGCTGGCGCCAACGTATTATACCTAAGGGGAATTGCTTTAAAGAGCACAAAATGAATATTTTTCGGAAAAATAAAAAATGACCTTTTTTTGAACACACCTCGTATGTGTCTAGCCTAACCCAATGTATTAGTTTTCCCCCTTAATAATAAATATTTAAAACTAAAACAATGTGATATTGAATATGCTTCTCGCTCTCTGATTAATTAGATGATTAAATCGACAACTTAACCGATCGAATGACCTCTAAAAGCTTAGCATTAAACAATTAACTCACTCAATACTAACTTTTTGTAAGACTCGTCAATTTTTTCTATTTTCAAAACTGAATTCTCGTTTCGCGACTCAATATAATAGTCAATCTACATGAATTTTTTGCGGATTTGATAGAGCATTTGAATAAAATTAAACGAAAAAATTCTCGGATAACTAATGATATCTTAAATTGTGTAGAAAATTATTATAAGTAACAAAAATGAAACAATTCGTAGGATTTTAGTAAAAAATGAAGTAGAGAAAGAAAACCAAAAAGAAAAAGGAATTTCCACTCTAAATACTCCAAAACACAGTATATCGTCAAACATTATCTAAGCGAATGTTGATGATAAGTAATGGCGGTGATAGTGGCGGTGGGGAAGCGAGAAGAAAGACACAAAAACAACAGCACCGTTGTATCAGGCGCTGGTGTATCTACATTTAATGGCAATTATCTGCATGGGGAGAGATTATCCATATTAAACTAGGCCGTAAATGAGAGAGAGAGAGAGAGAGAGAGAGAGAGAGAGAGAGAGAGAGAGA